TGGTATTGTGAACTCCTGAGGATCCGGCAGAGTCACGGTCAGCCTCGGTGGCCACTGCAGTGTCTGGGTGAGCTTCAAGGTACAGTTTCAGTGTCACTGCATTCAGAAGCCACTGGAACATGATCCTCATAATCGGTCCCTGAATCGTCACTCTCCTCATTTAGAATTTGTCTCCAAGCTTCAACACCAAATCTGGCCTGTTTTTATCTGATTGCCATTTCTGCCTAAAAAACAAACACTGCTGTTAAACTATATTACATAGTTATTGAATGGATTTTTTAAGCTTATCTTGGTGCGCTGAGAAACCTACTTCTCCTTACATATCCCTCCTTCCCACCCTCCCCCTCTGCTGCCCCCCAAAAATCATATTCGTCCTTTTTATTTCCGGTTTTACAGTCTTATCTCGTATAATAGAACAAACATTACATTTCATAGTTATACAACATTCCATGATGAAGTTATGTATTGTATTTCTGACTGAACATATCTTACCTTAGGAACAGCAGTATTTCAAGTTGTTGAAATATGGAAATATGCGGCTTGTGCATCTGTGTCTGTCTTCTTCAAAATGACTGAGTGCCCCCCCCCCCTTTAAATTAGGACCCATGGCAAACATTAACTGAATAAATAGTTAAATGTATTAAAAGTGCACAGGTGGAACTTGGTACATTTGTATTTTTTCAAAGCACTAATCAAAGCCGAAACAGAAAACGATGATGAGACATGATTAGGAACAAACAGATTGACAAACTCGTACAAACAGGGATGATGAGAGAAGAGCACCTGTTCGATATGACAAAAATCTATCTCTGGACCCCAGTCGGTAGGGTGAGGGTAGTATATTTACGTTATACATGGTTTCGAGTCTGTACAGTCAGTGTTGCTGAACGCAGAATATGAAATTAAAGCACATAAGTAGTTTTTGTTAAATAATTTTTACCGGCTGAGCAGTTGGTAAAAGACGCGAAGTTGCTTCACAGTAACCGGAAGCGGCGATGCAGCCGCAGCGAGACCGAAGGGCACGCAGGGCGGCTCACATGCACAGCGGCTCGGGAAGTTAACGTCCAGCAATCCGACATCCTACCGCACGGTTACAAAGTTTCCCCCCACCTTCCCCAGGTAACTTAGTATGTATCGCATTAAGATTCAGAACCACAAGCACGACCATCATACAATTATATGCGAGCAGCCGGCGAGCGGGTCCGCGTAAGTTCCTCACCACGCTCGCGCACTTTCATTCCCGCTGCTTTTGGGTCCTGAATCATTCCCGGGAGCGCGCACTGGCTAAAAGTCACAACAAAACACTGTGGAAAAATAACTAGAAATATAGATAGGAAAAGGAAGGTGACTCACCAGGCGGTCGCCAGCGCTTCCTTTTATGCCGATCACACAGGCGTTTCCCCCGCTCACCCCACCCTCACCATCGATCTGCACTCTATCACGTGAACACGGTGCGACGTTTTATTCAGCGCATCGTAAACGCTGCTTACTCTGATTGGTTCACTTCAATATCGGTGTTTTTCCGACGTATCAGAGCCAAAAGCGCTGATTGTAAGTTCATTTGAATGAGTCGCTGATAATGTGTATATGCATAGTCGGCGCATACAGACGGCAGAACAATTGGATCTTTCATCCCAGATTGTTTCACTTTCTGTTGTTAAATTTCAAGTCGAGGTAAAAGCTGAAAATCTAATATTTTTATAACGTCCTGCATTCTTCTGTAATTATTTGCAAGACATTAAAACACTATGGAATACACAGCGTCTTTTCTTTCTATTGTTTTCCGTATTCATTTTTAAAATCATGCTTTAAACCAGTTCCTCCATCATCAGCTTCCTTAACTAACTACATTAAATTTAGCCATTTACAATACGCAAATAAATTATATAAAAGTCACATATATAACCGCATACGTATTTTATCGTCGGTGATACCGACAGAGTGTTGTTATTACTGAAGCGTCAAATCGCTGGATAAACGGGATCTATGTCAGATGCCAAGTCATAAATCAGTTTTCTAATGGGCTTTATAGAAGTACACGCTGGATTGATGTGGTTCCCATTTATTATTAAAGATATCTGCCGGGAGGCAAATTCACTGTAGAAATACCAGAGTCCCAGGAGCCCTGGTCTGTTGACGATGCGGTTATGGTTGGGTGTGACTAAAGCACGTAGCAATATTTTGGTCATTTTTCGTGTATTTTATAAATGCCTCTTACAAATGTGCAAGATACATCATATACAGATGCCCTGGGATGCATCATCAGTGATGTCACCTGGGGTGAAAGGGTGTTTCGGGTCTTTCAACATCACACACCCTAGCTCTTACAAAAATAATCTGCTTCTAATATCTACTTCTAATGTCTTGGTATACAGCAAACTATTGATAAATATCTAAAAACATGACTAAAAGTTGCCATGAATGGACTGGAAATACCTGTAAGCATGTGGTTTTTCACGTGTCACAATGGTCTTGGAAGTATTGTTTGCCAATGTGAAGGGAAGAGCCTTAATTTATGGAAGCCAGTTATAGCTTGTCTAATAGGCTTAATCATACTATAAGAGTGTTTAGTACAGTTTCCAATTAAGCTTTTCATTAGATCAGAGGAGGAAACTCAAACACCCACACAGACAGCGTACAGGCAGAGGTGAAACCCAGCTTTGAAGAGGCAAGACTGCTGCATGCTGAAGCACAATGCATCTGACATCTGAGGAGAAACAAAGAAACGGAATCAGGAGGTCATTGTAGCTCACATTCAGGAATATCTCATCCAGTGTTTAATTTGTAAATCAGAAGGTACCGGAGGGGTAATGAGGTGTTTTAAGTGCGTACAAAACACAGTGCTGATATGTATTTTTAAGAGTAAATCAAAACTAATAAAGGATGTGAAACTGTGTAAAATTTGGTCTGTAAATTAATATACATACATCTTCTTCTTCATCATCATCATCATCATCATTATTATTATTGCTGTTGTAATTTTAACCAGGGGGCTGCCAGATCCATACTGCTGGAATGCAGACAAAAACAGAAAAGTCCCTGTCCTTTGATCTGGAGGTTGCTGGTTCAAATCCCAGAGTTGGTAGAGTGATTTCACTGTTGGGCCAGTTACTCCAGGGACCGTCTGGCCCTGCTTTCAATATTATGTCCCTCTGGGAAAAAAAGCATATTCTAAATAAGTAAAACAGTTTCATCAGCAGCTTTATCAGGCAGCCGTAAACCTCACTATTTAAAATGTTTCTCCACAGAGTAGTGCATCCATTTATACATTATGGCTGTGACCCGTTTGCTTAGACAGAAGAGAATCATAATGGAGATAATTTCAAATGGCTAGTTTTATGTGCAATATATTTGGCACTTGTTATTTTTAAATTTGCTTTATTTGCCTTAGAATGGGCATTGTTAATGTCAACCTGTTTTTTCTAAAATAGCCCAGTTGTAAGGTAACTGCACACGGTTTGTGTGTTGATGCTACACAGCCTGACGGGGATGGGATATGACAGCTTCTCACTCCTCCAGGGCCCATGTGCTCAAGACAAAAACAAACAGGATCGCACACCTTCATATCTGGCGGAATATATTGGTTTTAAAACACTTGCATGCTTCTGTAAACATCAATTGCCTGCATGATTCTACAGTTGATGCAAAAGAGCATACTTTTACCAAGATAGACAGCACGGATAGACAGGGTTAACAAATATTGTCAGCTGGAACAAATTGTAGTAAGGCCATGTCTGAGACACTGGAAATGCTCTGCCTCTACTCCAGTCAGAAAAACATAATACCCCAGCTGGAACAAGCCATAGTAAGGCCATGTCTGAGACGCAGGAAGTACCCTGGCTCTGCCACAATCAGAGTAACGTAATACTCCAGCTGCGTAGATAAGTTGGTTGGAGTCGTACATACTTGTCAGGTTTTATAGAAGAGTTTCAGAGTTCAGCAGCCTGAAGTCATGTCAGTTCAGTTTAATGTCAGGCTTCCATTCGCCTTTCAGCTAAAGCATGTCAAATATGGTGTCTTTAGTTACATGGTGATCTGTACAAACGCACTTTGAATACTGTCTGCTTGGAGAACATCTTTGTCTGGCTTCTCTGCCTGAGCAATTATAAGTGTAAAAACATCCTCCACCCCACTACAAGCTGAAGGTGGGGGGCACTTACAGTCTGCTGAAGTTCTCCCCAAATTACATTACCTTCCTCAGATATCATTTACTCTCCAGTAGCAGTCAAATGTTCCAAGCCAAGAGGTATTAAACTGGAAAACAAAATCTTAAGTAGATTATTGTGTATAAATGATGAAAAGATGGTAGATATGTGGCATTTTGTAACCTGGGAATGCAGTGTCAGACAAAATATCAGAAATCCCAATTTATGATCAGGCAGAAGGAGTCGTCTTTGAGGTTGCACTGCTGCTTCCACTTATGACGTGGGGTCCTCGGGCAATAGTGAGACATTAAGCCATACACAGTCTATTAAATTCATCAGTGTCATGATAACGAAGCAGCTAGCTAATTTTATCACATGCTAGCCAGTCCCCAATTATGAAAATCAGCTGACGTAGTTATGCAGTCAATTAAATGACTATTAAAATGAAATTTTGTAGTGAACCAATCAGAAGACGACTAAAGGTCTTCAGGTACCTGATGGTTGGAATTATATAACAAAAAGGGTGTAGATTTGGGATTCCAAAGGGCTAACAACCACAGACACAGCGGTAGAAAGAGGATGGAGCTTTTTCAGTAAGAGCATCGCGTCATTCCTTCACCTGGGAGTACCCTGCTCGAGATGCTTTGGTGTTAAGCGGGAGTAACAGTAGGCCTGCAGCTAGGAGCACTTTTCCTCCATGGCTACGTGGAGCCAGTCTGAGTCAGGCCACGGAGAGCCTCTCACACCAACATCGTCACAGAGCCGTGGAGCTTCACTCAACTCCCTCATCATCCCGGAGCATCTGAGGTCTCGTGCAGCTGAACGGGCTTCACAGAAAAGATCCATCGAGAAGACTCACGGTTAAATATTTTAATCACTTCAAAATGTAACATGTCCCCATTATTTCAAACACAGACAAAAAAAATACAACAATACAAAACAGACATCAGTAGTTCTATTACAATACCAATGAAAGACAGAAAAAGAAGAGTTTATTTGGAGATTTCGTTTTAGTACATTACCTCTGAAGGTATGAAGTACAGTAGCTTTTTTTTTTTTTTTTTTTTACAGATAAATTTTGACAGCTGGACCATTTTTACATTTTTGGTTCAAAATACAGTGCCCATAACATGGGGTGTGTCTTTCTGTACGTGCAGCTCTGCATCAGCCACACCAAGAATTTTAAATCAGTTTGTATTTAATCTTTAATAACTGTTACATTATTTACAAAGTAACACTGTGATCAGTATAAATTGGAAAACACTGAAAATACGCCTTGTGATCTGGGGAACAAATCCTGTCAGAAGGCCAAATAAATTGGGGGATAACCTCCACCTGGCCTTGTACGATCTGTTTACCCTTTGTCACCACCAGGGGGTGCTACAATCCCTGGAAAGAAGGAACACACCTGTGCTTCCGTTGACAGAATTGGGCTTTAACCATGCAATAAGAAAATACATGAAATTTCTCAACAGAAACAAAGGTTCTTAACGTGGGTAACATCTCTACATACTAAAGTGATCTGAACATTGACAGCATACAATCATTGCTCAAGTATCTAAAAGTGACTGAAATGTTCATTTGAATAATTCCGTAACCCGTCACATTTGGGCCTCCCGCTCTATTAATTTCATTCACGGCAAACAAACCTAAATTGTCACATAAATAATTATTTTGTACAACTATTAAAGCATAAAGCATTTTCTTCATTCAAAAAAATAAATAAATAAATAAAATAAAATAAAAACAGCTTTCCGGGGAAAAATATGTTTGGAGTGATGCAAAAGTCATAAACAGCAGGACAAGCATAAAAAAAGTACTAGCATCAAAATAAAAAAAGGTTATTATTTAAGGTTTTAATTTTAGGGAAAACAACATAATTTGAAAGAGGTCATATGGTTTAACTACACTTGTATTTGGCAAAGCTTCCATAAAAGGTTGAACTTAAAAACGTCCGAAAGGTTGCAGACCTTTTGTGTGATTTCTGTGCTGTTACTTTCTATAGCACAGTAGAACGTAAGCTGGAACTGTACGACAGAAACGTCAGCGATGGTACAGACAGCGGCATAACCCCCCCTCACAGGCCGGACACTCCCGGATGAACATCAACCTACTTGTGCTGTGATTCGTGGGTTAAAAAAAAAAAAATCATCTTTGTGGGGGATGTCTCGGGATGGACTGGCATCCCGTCCAGGCTGTATCCCAGCCTTGTGCCCTAATGCCACCTGGGATTTGGCTTCCTGGTGATGCTGACCAGGCAAAGCAAATTGGAAATGGATGGAGGGGTGAATGGAAGTCTGCGATGGAGACTGTATTCAAACGGCAATCCTTTCAAACCTCAATATTGTGGCTGTTGCACCAGAAACATTACAGTATATAATATAATTTGATTATCCTGCACTGAAAAAAGCTTATTTCACCCCCCAGTGTTTAGCTGCGGTTCTAACTTTCAGCTGACACAACCTAGAGCACTGCCACTCAAATGCAGCTTTGGCAACTGGATGCACTGGATCCATAGTGAGACCACTGGACACCTTGGGTAGCGATGTGGGGCTTGAGTGACCTGTGTACAAGGTTCTTTGTCCTGAGTCACATCTGTAGCTCTAAGGTTCATTACCGCTTCTCCTGCACCGGTGTTTTTAAGGCTGAAATGCGAAAGAGCACAACGATCGGTCAGTCCATCCTGCAGCCACAAGTTCTGCTGTAATATCACACGGTGACTTGCGGATTAGGCCTGCTCAAACGATTGCAGAATATCTGTGATGGGGAATGGCCGCAGATGGCATAGTGGTTAAGAAACTGGGTTCACTAGTTGTAGTCCCAGGACGGCCCTGCTAATCTAACTTTCAGAAACATACTTTACCTGAATTACATCACTAAATATCCTTCTGTACAAATGGATAGAACCGCATAGGTCATGCAAATTGATTTGCACAACGTATTATGAACTAAAAACAAAGATGTGCTACTTATTTATATAATATGGACATTTTATCTTAATTTTGGACATATTACATTTGCAGAATTACACAGTTTTACAGGCACATTATTTTCTGGCCAAGTAAACGGCAGACAGGAATTTCAGACAGAAAAACATATAACAAACAAAGAGAAACAAATTGACCGTGGATTGTAGTCAGATACTTAAATCAATCACATGGCCTACAGACGTCTATGATAGACGTCCAACCTGACAAACTCAGCGCCCTCTATTGGTAAGTGTTTGCATTACTGCCGTTACAAATCCTCCGAAAAGGGGAAATGAAATCGCAGGATCTCTTTCCCATCAGTGTTTAACATCAGTGCCATCAGACTGTTTTTTTATGGTGAGAATATAACCCATTTAACACACACAGTGTGAAACACGCAACACTAAAGCTCTGGATGCGTAAAGAAAGTAAAAACTGAATCTGAAGCCAAACATCTTCAGTTTATCCCGGCAACATTCAAAACATTTCACCATGCTCATAACGACTCTATAAAGACTAAAAAAAAAATTAAAAACTGTATTTAAGATATAAAGATTATTGTTTTAGGGCTGATAAAGGTTAGGGCGTATTTTATATTTTACATAATAAAGGTGATTCGATGTGCTGTTACAGAGCGAGAATCAGCACTGGTGTTTATGTTACAACACTGGACACCAGCTTCACCAGGGGATGTTGTGCTTCACCACACCTTTAACACTGGCCTCCTAAAATCATGCAGTGACACACAGATCACCTGACATAACTAACTGGTCTTCACCTGCCACTGGCGCAGTGCGTACTGAACGGACGACGTGTCACGCCGGAGGCGCTCAGCTCGCCCCCCCCTCACCACCCCCGCCCCGTGCTCTCCTGCCCTGCCTTGCTGAAGCTTCACCAGAACCCACTGTCAGCACACACGCAGTGAAATTCAAAATCAAAGAAAACAATAATGAAAAATCCTCAGAAAACTCACTTTAATCTACTCAATACACACCCGGAGGCCACGTGGCTAAAAACAGAACTCTTTTACAACACATGCTTTGACCATGAAAATAAAACGCATTAATCCATAAAACATAATGGGAAATAAACAGAGACATCTCGTACAAATCAGATCTGTATGGCACCTGTGGCATTTGTAGACAGCTTTGTTGTTGAAAATCCCTCAATTGGTTCACAGTTTTAATTTTGATATGTCGTGGATTAAAAACTAACTCTTTACATAAATAATTTACGGATTTATTTAGCAGTGTCACTAGTTTGATGTTGGAAATATCAGGCAAAAATATATGTATATATGTATTTACATAAACAATATGGCTGCGATATTTTGATTAAAAACTGATTTTTCATTTTGAATTCAAGTCAGGTCTTTAATTACAGCTCTATCTATCTTAGGTGCAAAACCAAAAGCTCTCAACGGAAAGTGCACATTCAGTAGTACAACGCATAGTCCGGTGGCTGCTTCTGAATGTCTTTGAGTGGAAGTATGTGTCTGAAAAGTGGCATTTTACTCTGCTAAAAAAGTTTATATAACCAAATCATGACAGCATTAACGGAAATATAAACCAAGCATTAGTCACACAATGTATATGGAAAATATGTCTGTAGTTACGTAAGTGACAGTTAATGAGTGATAAGGTCAGAAACTAACGCTGGGAATCCAAGCCTCGGCCAAACTCTAAAATCCTTATAGTGCTTATGAATGACACTGCAGACACAAAAAAAAAGAAATAAATGCATTTTAGTTTGCTCATTCGAAACACGTGACTAACTACAATCTTTTGGAAGCCGTCCTGGGACACTAATTGTGGGCATTGTTGCAAGGCCGTGTCGTCAGTGGTCGCCCCGTGTTCTGCCTCTGCTCTGATTGGACCAGAGGCCCCTCCTCCCGGTGTGGGTGGAGCTGGCGTTGTTGTCGGTCCTTGCGGAGCTCGCTTTGTCTGTCGCGCCGGAGCTCACCTGAGGAGAAGTCATTCTGTTGGTAGTTTCCTTTCTGGCTGAATCGAGAATACATGCATATACCCTGTTCTGAAAAAGCCTCCTATCTGTGGCTACAAAACCTACCGCAGGCGTAGGTTAAAATTGATTTAATATTTTTAAACTGGCATCTTCACTCTGGTTAAAATACAAACTGTTCACGTTTTCCTTTGGAGCAGTAGTTAAGTGAGGGAGATCGTGGGAGTGAGAGAGAGCAAGAGTGTGAGAGAGTGAGGCTGTTACAGACAGGAGAGAGAGTGAGGTAGCTACAGGCAGGAGGGAGAGTGAGGCAGTTACAGACAGGAGGGACAGCGAGGCAGTTACAGACAGGAGAGAGAGTGAGGCAGCTACAGGCAGGAGGGAGAGTGAGGCAGTTACAGACAGGAGGGACAGCGAGGCAGCTACAAACAGGAGGGACAGCGAGGCAGTTACAGACAGGAGAGAGAGTGAGGTAGCTACAGGCAGGAGGGAGAGTGAGGCAGTTACAGACAGGAGGGACAGCGAGGCACCGACAGACAGGAGGGACAGTGAGGTAGCTACAGACAGGAGGGACAGTGAGGTAGCTACAGACAGGAGGGACAGNACAGACAGGAGGGACAGTGAGGTAGCTACAGACAGGAGGGACAGAGAGGCACCGACAGACAGGAGGGACAGTGAGGTAGCTATATACAGGAGAGCGAATGAGGCAAAACCTATTGCAGGAACCTGCAAAATTGATTCAATATTTTTAAACTGCCATCTTCACTCTGGTTAAAATACAAACTTCACGTTTTCTTTTGGAGCAGTAGTTAAGTGAGGGAGATCGTGGGAGGGAGAGAGAGCAAAAGTGTGAGAGAGTGAGGCTACAGGCAGGAGAGAGAGTGAGGCAGCTACAAACAGAAGGGACAGCGAGGCAGTTACAGACAGGAGAGAGAGTGAGGCACCGACAGACAGGAGAGAGAGTGAGGCACCGACAGACAGGAGGGACAGCGAGGCACCAACAGACAGGAGGGATAGTGAAGTGAGGCAGTTACAGACAGGAGAGAGAGTGAGGCAGCTNGAGGCACCGACAGACAGGAGGGACAGCGAGGCACCAACAGACAGGAGGGATAGTGAAGTGAGGCAGTTACAGACAGGAGAGAGAGTGAGGCAGCTACAGGCAGGAGGGACAGTGAGGCAGCTACAGGCAGGAGGGACAGTGAGGCACCGACAGACAGGAGAGAGAGTGAGGCACCGACAGACAGGAGGGACAGCGAGGCAGCTACAGACAGGAGGGACAGTGAGGTAGCTACAGGCAGGAGGGACAGTGAGGCACCGACAGACAGGAGGGACAGTGAGGNCAGGAGGGACAGTGAGGCACCGACAGACAGGAGGGACAGTGAGGCAGTTACAGACATAAGAGACAGATAGGCGGCTATAGACAGTAGCAACAGTGAGGAAGCTATAAACAGCAGAGAGAGTGAGGACGTTATAAGCAGTAGAGATAGACTTACTTATTTATACAATATGTTCATTCCTGCAATGACACCTGGGGAAGGAGAGAAAAAAGAATGAACCATAAAATACAAGCATACAAAGCTTAGGGAGATAAATAGTATAAATACTGAGGTACAGTAGAGTGGAAGGTAATAGAAGAATTGGTTTTCTATGAGATGAGAGATGACTCATGTTGGATTAAATTAAATTAATAAAACACATAGTGCTTAATAAAGCCCTGGGAATTACATCAAATTAAGAACAAGAAGCTATAATTACTAGTTCTTTTCTGTATGAGGTTAGAACTGAATTTAGGACTAAACCTGAACTAGGTACGCGCAACAGAAGTACTACTCCTGGTTGGGTGATATTCTTAAAGGGACGGTGCTTGTTTGTAACTGGCTGGTCGATTTTCTTAAAGGGATGGTGCTTTCTTTGGGGCCCGTTCCATGACGCACCATGTAAGCCTTGTCCTGCTGGTTCTGTTTGAGGAACTCCTCCATTTTCAGCTCGTTCTCAAGCTGCCGCACCGAGTCGTTCTCGTAGGTCTCATCATCCGCCCGCACGAAGGAGTCTGCATTATCCGTACTGCTCGAAAAGCAAAGACATGAAGCAGTGAGTGGACTGAGGTCCACTTCAGCCATGGTGGAAAATTTCCCAGGCCTCAACACGCTACAGTGTGTGAATAAGAGGGAACGTGGCCAATATACAGTGTAATTAGTCACTGTAGGGACTATGAGAAAATAACAGTCAGTAAAACTATAGAATATAGGAATGTTCCTCTGGACAGAATCAGTATCAGACTGATAAACATTATAATCACTTGGAAGGAAAATAATCTATAGACTGAATGAGTAATATGAAAGAAATTCATTAATATTAGTGGCTATTCTAGATCTGCTGGGTGTGCAGAGCATAATGAACAAGAAAAATGAGAAGCCTGCTGGCAGACAGGTGAAGAGCGTCCACCACACAGACTGCCTGAATGCCACCCAAGGGCAGAGTAACGCTGGCAGACAGGTAAAGAGCGTCCACCACACAGACAGCCTGAATGTCATCCAAGGGCAGAGTAACGCTGGCAGACAGGTAAAGAGCATCCACCACACAGACAGCCTGAATGCCACCCAAGGGCAGAGTAACGCTGGCAGACAGGTCAAGAGCGTCCACCTCACAGACTGCCTGACTGCCACCCAAGGGCAGAGTAACGCTGGCAGACAGGTAAAGAGCGTCCAC